CTCCCGCCCACAGGCCGGTGCCCGAGCTGCCCGTGAAAACGCCCTTCTTCACCCTCGGCGACGAGGACTTCATCGAGAAGAGGAGGCAGGGCCTGCAGCACTTCCTGGACAGGTCAGTGTCTGTCAGCACCGGTCAGCAGAGCTCCCCCTGCTGGGACGCCCTGAGGGACGGACTGGGCCTAATCCCCACGCAGGGGTTGAGCTTGTCCTGTAATAATAATCCACGAAAAACAGTCCGTCAGGTCACCAGGGGGAGAGCATTATTAACTGGGCGAGGCCAATCACAGGAGAGACTGCGACTGTGATTCTTTTACAGCACACTGTGTTAAAGGACGGTCTTCAGGAGAGCTTGAGCCCATAACCCCTTCCCGTGTAAAGAAGTCCTGTCTGCACTGGAATACCTAGCTGATTTAACCAGATTTGATGGAACCCTTAGGTGAAGTTATTATTATTTACCCCCACATAAACTTAACGCAACACCTGGACTGGCTTTGCCAAGCGTGGCCCTGAGCCCGGAAATTGTACCTTTTATCGTCTAATCAGATTGAGCCTTTTCGAACGCAAACGTCCGTGAATCAGAGCTGTGCTCTGGCTCGGCGGGTCTGCTGGAGCGGAGTTCTGGGCAGCTTCGTTAGCAGGCAGGCGCAGGGGGGCAGCCCAGCCGGTGCTGATGGAGATGGATGGAGAGAGACAACAGCCGCCGCCGCCGCCGCCCGCATCGCGCTTGTGTTCGGCAGACATGCAGCTTGTAAATTAATGTAGTAAATCTCTCCTCGCGGCCCGTGAAATATGGCCATGTTCAGCCCTGTTTAGATTTTTTTCCCCACTCCATAATAAAACCTATTTTGGATTTTTTTCCTGGTTCTTTGGATGGGGTGCCGTGTAAATAGCTGACCCTGCGCTCTGACCCCCAGCTTCTCTCCCTGTCTGTGTGTCTCACGGAGAGCAAGCTGGGGTCTGTGAAAAGATCAATTCTTAATACAAGATATTGTATGTGGCCAATAAAGTGATCTTATCTTATCTACTGACAAGGGTTTGAGGAAGGTAGAGCAGGCAGAGTGTTAAACTGGACTATTTGGAATGACTTGATAATTAAGGATAATTAAGGAGAACTGTAAGAAGCCAGACAGCAAGAACAACTGTTCTTCTGCATCAAAACATTAGTCAAAGAACCAAGGGCAGAAGAGCTGGAAAATGACTGATTATGTGCGTTTTCCTCTTATCTAACCTGCGAAATATAACATTAGATGTATATAAGCTGCTGTACGTCTTGCAGTATCTGTCTCCTGCAGTGGCTCCTACGTGTTGCAAAGTGTTTCGGTTTGAAGACCGTTCCACTGGGTCCTCATCTCTCCGTTTGAAGGCTGTCCTCGAAGCAGCTGCAGTAAATAAATCCAGATCTGTTCTGTGTTCCTGTTGTCCCGAGCGACATCCTCTTAGCCCTACGGCTGGGTCTTGTCGCTGCAAAGCGCTCAGCGTGTTTTCAGGGGGCCGTGGGTGTGTGTGCCCGCTCCAGGGTCCTGCACATGACGGTGTTCCTGTCGGACAGCCAGCTGCACCTGTTCCTGCAGACACAGCTGGCCCCAGCTGACATCGAGGCCTGCGTGCAGGGCCACGCCCACTACACGGTGACGGACGCCATCCTCGGCTACGCCTCCTCCAATCAGGGCTGGGCTCAGGAGGAGGAGGGCAGGACCCAGGAGCCCGGCCTTCTTCCTGTGCCATACGAATGGGCAGGAAGGTGAGACATGTTGCTTTCACATTAACATGCAGTTTTACTGCTGTCTTCCTGTAGCCAGCTAGTACGTCTCTACATCAGTCTGTATGTCTGTCAGCTTGTGAATCCGTCCCTCTGTGAACCTTTGAGTTCATCCATCCAGCCATTTTCACTTCCGCTTCTCCTGGTGAGGGTCCCGGTGAAGCCGGAGCCTACCAGGCAAGCAACGAGTGCAAGGCAGGGTGGACCAGGCAAGTGCAAGCCAATCAGACACGGGGACAATTTGGAGGCCACAGTAAGGGCCGAGGGGGGAAATTTGGCCCGGACACCGGGATAACTCCCTACTCTTCTCCAGAAATGCCCGGAAATCTTTAAGGACTCATCTGAAAGATGGCGCCCACTACAGTATAGTGTCCCTGCCACTATACTGGGGCATTAGGACCCACACAGACCACAGGGTGGGCGCCCCCCGCTGGTCACACTAACACCTCTTCCAGCAGCAACCTTAGTTTCTCCCAGGAGGTCTCCCATCCAGGTACTGACCAGGCTCACACCTGCTGAGCTCCAGTGGGCTGCCAGCTGGGAGCTGCAGGGTGATGTGGCTGTTGGCTCCCCTTTGGGTTCAATAACAGATAAAGGTCTCAGTGCCCTGTGCCTGAAAAGGCTATTTCAACTTATTCATAATATTGAATATTCGATATTCAATTTTATTAAATGCAACAATTTTGTATTTAAAGTGCTCTTCAGGCTGCTGAACATTCATTAATTCTAGCCAGTTCTTTTAATTCTTTTAAAAAGACTTTTCTTATTCTGAATTTAAGGCTAAATTCCCATGCACCAAGATAATGCTCTTGTAACTGTTCCTTAATCCCATGTTAATGTAACCCTGGTAAATGCGGGTAATTATTGTGCGATCATCTGTTTTTCTAATACACAACAATGGACATACACATTCATTAAGTAAGACTGTGGCTGCATACAGAAATCAGGAATTAATGAAGATGTACACCACATTTTAAAATTAAGAGTCCTGAGTTGCCTATCATTGAGGTCTGTGTGTGCCTAAAGTGAGGGAAAGAACATTATTTTCACGTATTGTCCTCTTAATTTGTTTAATTTGTCAGGAACAGGGTGCAATTAACAGTCAGCAGAGCAAATGTGAAAAAGATGACAGATTCTCTCAGCTTCTCCAGTGAGAGAAAGGGCATTAGTCGTTATTAAACTCTAGTTGAAGGCACACAGTATTGAAGAGACGGTGTTGCAGTCTAAGCAAAGTCAATCTCAAGACCCTGAAGTAACTGTTACTCAGCTGGGGATCAAGGGTCACACTGCGTGTCTAAGACTGGTGTTTTGTCACACCAAAAGAGAACGCTCACCAGAAAGGTACAGGTTCCTGCGTGTTACAGTATTTGTTAAGATGCTAGATTGATAATATAACCTTTATTTTATATACTGTAGCACCTTCATGGTGCGTCATCTCAAGGTGCAAGCTTTTCTAGCATTAAATCAACTTCTCGCAAATCTCTCCCTTAAAATATTCAGCTACCATAAGGAGGGAACAGAGGTGTTTCCCGAACCGGAAATAACGAATGACATGCTAATAACCCGGTGTGCATTAATGAACGTCGGCTTCAGTGATGTTGAAATGAAAAGACCGGATTTTTCCTCTTTCTTTCGGAAGCCCCACCCCGCTCGTCCCTGCCGCCCAATGCGAGAGCAGCTCTGAGGGGGGCACCCCTGCGGACGACGCCCCCGGCCGAGCGGAGGGCGGGGTCTGACCGCGCGGCCCCGAGAGCACCACTGGGGAAGAAAATCGGGACGCAGACCGGGTCGACTCGATCGGCAGCTCTGAAGGGGGATTTCGCTACCCTTGCGGGGGACAGATGAGAGCCGGGACCGGACCGGACTGGACCGGACCAGTCCGTCTCTGCAGCGCCGCACGGATCCAGAACTCCCCCCTCCTAGTGGCCTGCCCCTCTGAACCGAGAAGGGGCTGACAGTGAGAACTGAAAAACAAACCATTTACAGGGGATAGTCTGGTCTTTAGGTGTCTAGGGTTTGGATTAATGGGAGTTTTAAGGGAATCAAAGCTGTATGCTGCCCAACAAGTAGGAAGAACAACTCAAGGGACCTATTTCCAGGGCCCTGCGTCTCTGGAGACTTACAAAACCGCCTAGACCTTCTACAGTTAAGCTTTAGAAAAACACTTGGTTTTTCGTTTTTTGAAGGCAGGAGTGATACAAATTATTCCCTCCCCCCACCACCACCTGATTCATGGGAAACCTTGTGTGAAACATCTTAGGCACTGATACCTTAGTAGGTGGCAGGTAACAGTTGACTTTCAACTCTGTCATGGGGTCGGATGTTTTGTTTTGGATATTCAGATCTGCAGAGCAAATGTTGAGTTACAAGGAGCCGAAGACTCCTGTGAAGTTTTTCAGACCCAAAGGCAGGTGGATCCAGTTCAGGGTACAGCCAGCTTCACGATAGGATGTGCTGTATTTTCAATACATTAATGAAGGGATGAAGGAATTGGGATCAGACCCACACAGTTCCCAGTTCGGCCTCTTGCTCTCTGTGCATGACAGTGCGCCGCAGTGGTCATGCTGTCGGACGAGATGTGAAACTGATCTGTTGTCAGTGACTGTGCATCAGCAGTTTGTGATTCACAGGTCCAGCCCCTAGCTTGTGGAAGTCATTGGGGATGAGTAACCAATGGTTTTCCACACGTCATACTGCATACATACAGCAGTAGGTTCTCTCCAGGCTGGCAGAAACAGTCCCAGTTTATCTGAAATATTTTTTTTACGTTTTCCTAAATTTGGGGTTTTTCATTGGTAAGGTAGAGTCCAGCTTTAGACCTTCTGGTAGATTTCACAGGGAATAGAAAAAAATCTGATAATTCCTCTGCTAATAGAACAGGGGAAGAACTTTAAACATTAAATAAAAGTTTGCACATTCGAGACGGACATTTTCTTCTCCTCAGTAGCAGCTCAATTCAACTTCCCTTTACCAACAACAAATGAAGCAGAATTTGTTCCTGTTTCTGGAGTCTTTCATTCTCAGTCCAGTTGGAGTGAGGACCGCTGGGACAGAGCAGTGTCCCTTAGTCCAACATCTGAGGGCTTTAAGCACCAGCCATGACACTAAACCACAGCCTGCTGTTTGAGCTCTCTCGTTTGTCACAAACAGTTGAATTGTATTATATGTCTACATTGGCATTTTTAAAGCTTGCTTGGAGATAAATGTAGTTTGCCTGCACTGATATACTCCATGTTATACACAGGAAAGGCAGCTTAACTGTAGCTGGATGATGGTAGTTTTGTAAAACGTGATTGAACTGTTTCAGAGGAATGGCACGACACAGACTTCAAGTCTCTGTTCAACTTCAGACCACGTGACAGCACACAGGAGTGTGGCTTCAGAGCTGTTTCTCTTTCAGCCCTTTCGGAAAAGGGACTTACTGTACACTTACTTGTGGGGAGAGCTTTGAGATCACCGCTGTCCGGCATCATGAGCGCTGTTGTCACAGGTGAGGTGGCCTTTGGAAAAATGTTTCCAAGTGGTGGCGCCAGTTTCCCAGATGATGGCCGCGATTTCTGACCGGGGCTGAATTTCAGGTGCTCCAACGACTACACGCAAGTTGCGGAGTTTGGTTTCCGGAGTCTTTCAGGGCGATTCTAATGCGACCCTGCTGGTGGCGCAGCCTGTTGAGGCGCTTGACTTCTTTATCATGTAACAGCTAAAGAGAGAGGTTTTCAGGCACAAGATGAACAGCTCGTTAGTGCATTCTGGCCTGGGGTGGGGGGGGGGACGTGCACGTCGGCAGGGGGGTCGTTTTTCTTCCGTGGGCAGGGACGGGCGAGAGGAAGGAACAGCACGTCAGGCTTCATTAGCGGCCCAGGGCCTATTTCGGTTCTCTCATTTTTCACGACGGTGGGAGCTGGTCTAACGGCGCAGCGCAAACAGAGGTGACTTTGCAAAGGGAAAGGGGAGCGTTGCCGCGCGAGGAAGGAAAACGCTCTCTTTGTGCACTTTGCTGTACCGTGGCGTGAGCCTGTATATCCAGCATGTGCCGCTGTGTTCAAAAGTTTGGGCACCCCTGGTCACAAAGTGAAAAGAAGTTAACGCAACCTCTGCAGGGTCCAAACTTAAACATGACAGATTTCTGCACCTTTTGAATGCACAATTACCCTTTATCTGTGGAATTTAACAGATTGAATACAGCTGTACAGTACACCTAGCTTTGACAGTACAGGGTGCTATCTCCTGTACCGCACACAAGTTTATTTACTTACCCCAAGAAGCAGTTTGGCAGTGTGCTCTTGGCAGGGGATCCTTGTTCTAGCGTTAAGAAAACGCCCTTCTTGTGAAGGAGCTCTGGAGCAGCAGGGTCTGACTCCAGTCCTGGGAGCTGCAGACCAGGTAGGTTCACAGGTAGCTTTGAAACATCAGTGTGCAGGGTTCCAGACAGGCTGCTGACTCCTCCTAATTAAGCGGCTACTCGTCAGGATGTCTGCCTGAGACAGGGACGAGCGGGGTGGGGCTTCGGAAAGAAAAGCACAAGACCGGGGCTGGACTCTCCCACCAAAGTGAATAGAGGCAGAGGGTGACCAGGACTGAGGTTTGCGACAGTGTGAGCCCTAGAACTGGGGCTGGGATTAGTACTTCCTCTGAGATGCACCTCCTGCCTGTCAGCAAGTATGAGTTTTCAAATTCTAAAGCAACCTTTCATTACAGCTTACAGCTGGGTGCTTTGTCAGATAAAGGTGCCATGGTGATTCTAGCAACTTGTGTATGTACTTGTGCAAAGAGTTGTGTATTGCCTTTACAGTGGATTCATTTTTAGGACAGAAAGTTGTATTTTAGATGTAGGCATGCACAGATGTTTGTTTTAACTGAATTCTCCTGACTGCGCAGTGTGTGTGAATCTCCCATGGGCACAGCTACTGATGGGAGCGCGGGGTGACTCTTGGCACTGCCTGTGCCACCTTGTTCCCCACTGAGCGCACAGAGGGGGAGCGGCAAGTCCAGGGGAGTATCGGCTGCCGCTGTGAAAACAGAAGTGCAGGAAATGATGATTTTCACAGGCGCCACCCTAGTTAAGTCCTCAGGCCATGAGTGAGAAACACTAAAAAGTGTTAGAAAAAAGAGCACCCCATTCTGAACACCCATCTGAGGACTCATACAGTGGCAATCTCGGTATCCAGTTTACCGAACACCTTTTTTTGCACTGAAGTGTTTCTTAACCTCACTGATGCTCAGTAGCTGTCTTATGTAGCTTTGCAGAGCTGTTGTTCAGAACTGTACAGACCCACTGTTTGTAACTCAACAGTGCCAGATTGGTGGTGTCTAGAGAATCAAATAATGAAATAACTTTTCTTCAGCTGACTTCGAGAGCATCGAGGCCCGAGTTGAAGCCCTGCTTGTCTCCTTGGGCATTGTTGAATATTAATTTGAATTTTGTGAGAAGCGGCCCTCGTGAATTTTACAGCTCTGCCGCAGGGAGTCTGAAGCTGTGCTCCTGGAGAAGCAGGCGCGAGCTGCAGGTTGTGCTGATGTTTGAGAATGCGTGCAGAGAGCAATGTGGGACAGGCGCCTGACTGGGATTACTGAGTGACACTGAGTAATGAGCAGAGAAACAGGAACTGGAACTGCACACACGCAAGTCCCATCCCTGAAAAGCAATGTAAACGATTAAATTATAAAACAGACACTTTCGGTTATTGTGAAATGTGAATAAAGTGACTATTTGCATTGACAGTTTCCTTGTGCAAGTTGTTTTTTTTCCGGACAAACTCTTCACGATATGAAACGGAAGGATCTTCATGTGTGTCAGACTCCACTCTTGGGTTTTCGTAAATTTCACATCTGAGCAGGTTTCTGTGGT